ATGCGATGTGTTTAGGATAGTTAAGTGCAATCTTTTCGCATTAACTAGAGGTCTTTTTGTCTGGTAAAGTCCGACCCTAAATCCTTACGTCTAATTAAGAACTAAAGCCGTATAGAAAGAAAGCAACAAAGATTACAAATGGACGAATGACATCTATTTAAAGAGAGAAAAACATAATAGGAAGAAGAGATGTATTATTTTCTTAATTTAGGATAGATGTCCGTCAAAATAACCAAACAAAAGAATTCAAAATATTCCATTTGTTGACCGTCCTTTTACTAAAAAGGACTTCACTACTCGTGAATTTTGCGATTGTCTTTCGGAGAAAAATATCAAAAATGAGAAACAGTAGCTCTTGAAACCTTTCAAATATTTTAAAAAGTTATTTGTTTGGATTTATGTTTTACAAGAAGTCATCTCTTTAGTATTTTTTATTTTTCATGATACTTTCTGTGCAGATTTTCAATAAATCTTTTGTAATCCATTCTTATTTTTCAAAAAAAGTATATTTGAATGTAAGAGTTAAATCTTTTTTTATAATTTTTTATAGAAAAAGACGCAAAATGCGTTAAGCTCTTTAATCATTTCTAAATAATATTTCCAAGAACAATTTATAATAAAAATATAATCGATGTTTTAAACTGAGACGTTGATAACGTGCACTTTCATTTCGCAACGTGGGATAGAAACGTCACACGACACCATGACGCCTTTTCAGAAATATTCTTTCTTCCTGTGTGTTGCGACATTGATGTTCAAAGGACTATCCCCCTGGTGTTCGGCGTGCATTTAAGACGCTAAAAAGCACGTGTGTGCGACAGACAATTATGGGACCAACTACGATAAAGACGACGCGACTTAAGACCACACGAAGACTCACACACGTCAGCTCGATACTCGGGCGAACGGGCCCCTTTCACAATGGCTGACTTCGTAAGGCAAAAATCAGAAAGTTAGGGCCCCGGCCGTACTATGTCTCGGATGCTAGCGGAGAGAGGGATGATCTAGCAAGCGAGTTCTCGAGGGATGCGCAGCTGTCATGAGAAGTGCAGCGATTGGCCGCTACCATCAGTCGGCCATGCTGGATTTTTCCGGTCTGGCTTCTCCTCACAATGGTATCACGGACTTGGAACAGGGTCAGTAGCTTTGCTAAAGATCAGGGTCGCCCAATAAAATCTCACATCGTTCCTGTACCCGCGAGCGTTTCGCTATTCATTGTTCGGCTGACAACATCGCTCGTCAACTCAATAAAATTGCTGAGATCAATGTCGAGTCAACCGTGCGTGGATTTATCTCTTAATAAATAAAGATACGATCCTGAAGAGAAATTATTAAGAAGCTGTGAGAAAGTTTATACTCTATATTTTTAAATATGAAAAATTCTCTCTATGTAAAAAAAAACGAATAAGTTAAATATTTTGTACGTACAATACGAAAATCTGCCTGGTAGCATCCTTGACTGTTTGCTGATGACACGTAGAATATTCCACGTGGGACGAGTGCGTCTGTTACAACAAACAGAATGGCGGCGAGTCTCTGTTATTGAAATAAATCCCGTCATAATCATCGCTAACGCACTTTTGAAGGGAATCTGGAGTAAACCTGTAGTAGTGGGAGAAAGTGGTCGAGAGAGGCGAAGTGAGAAAGAGAGAGGGTTGATGGAGACACGTTTACGATTGTCGGCCGCGTGCCGCCACCCTAAGGATTAAGCGCAATTATTGGAATCACTCCGGCAGACCACAACCCGTTTCACACGCTCCTTATATCCTTTCGAGCTGTTATGAAAGTTTGCTCCGTTCGTGATATTTCGAAAGGAACAAATGTATAGTACCGAGTTGTACAAATAAAATTTCTTTAAAATTATTATTTCTTGCATTATTTAATAATAAATTTCATATTTAATTGCACAACGATGTTGAAAACCTTAAAACTATTAAAATTAGATTGAGATTTAAAATCTCTTTGGAGCCAAAAAATATATAAGAATATATTATATTACGACGCAACAATAATTTAAATTTTGTTTAATGTCTTTTTATGTAATTTATTTAGTATAATATTTTAGAGAAATATCCACTATATATATTCATACATCGTAAAAAAGTTGTGACTGTACATTTTATTCTTTGAAAATATTGACCTCTTTCGTATACTTGGAAAAGAATAATTATAAAATTTACATGCGAACATGCGAACGTGCGGTTCAACGGATTGCAATAAAATGTCTAATATATAGCGAGATAATATTAATTGCCCTTTGCACACCGCAATTTGCAGCGTGTCGAATATACAGAGTGTTGCCGATACTTTTCTCATTCTTTTTAGATGTTAAATTAATGCAATTATATCTTTTAATGCTGTTAGACTTCTAATCATTAAATGCGAAAATTTTATTGAAATCTCTTTAAATTAAATAATATTCAAATTAAATGCAGTAATGCTCATCTCGCAAAAGATTCTACACGCATCTTCAAATAATATTAATATTACAATAACGCTAAGAAAACATCGAGTCAAATTAATGGAAGAAATCGTAAATAATCGAAAGTGTGAGAAACTTCGAACGCACTATAGGCATCGCGTTGCATGATCAAAATTACGTAGCTAAAACATTTCTCGTCATGAAAGTCAATCTCCTCTCTCTTTTTCCTCGTGTTGCCTCGACGAAAGAAACGTGACACTCAATGGCGCGGTTGCAAAATCCATAGATAAAACACGTGTGTTTTAGCGAGTCAGCATACGTACCTACATCTTATTAGTCTTGTAATTAGCCGCACAAAAGGCATGCAAAGAAAATTGCATTTGGTCTAGTCAATATCTACGAAATGAATTGCTAGATGTTGCACTTAATCTCGATCGCATTTCGCGAACTGGTTCCGTTAAAGCATGCAGTTACCGTAACGCTTTTTCTCCTGCGCAATTCACCGATGTTCTTGTGCCTGAGAATATTAAACACCAGGGAGTTTCTCTCAAGGGAACAAAGCGAAGATTCAAGTCCCGCTTTTTAAAAATATTTGACTTTATTTAATATTCAAGTATATTCATACTCTTATTTAAGTATTGAAATTTATTCTATTCACACACACATATTACTCTACCAGAACACATGATATTATTATACATATATTATATAATATAGTTTATACGATATGTAAATCCCGTAAATAAAATAAGAGTAAATGTGTGACATATTATCCTTTTACTTTTACTGTTAATTATAATAAATAAAAGAATAAATTTTATCGCTAATAAATGTGAGATATATTACATAAAAGCTAAGAGATATATTACATAAAAAGCATATATATTACTCTATTACAAAATAAAACTTGTAACGTAAATTTGCATAAAAAAAGGAGCAACATTCACTATATATTCCTTATATTTGGCGACAGACATTTTAAAAACATCCCTCAGATTGTTAAACTCTATCGTACAGTTTCGCCGATGAATTGTCAATGTTTAGACGCATTCCACGTGCGCGCGCGTACACGTGGTGTCACAGCGTTAACCGCTCATCACCCCTTTTGGATGCGGCTTGGGTTTTGGCTTGCTATAACTCCGATAATTATGTTACCAATGCGTCGAAGGACAAAGAGCTCTCGAACGACGTGGATGGCCCGCTTGCTCGCGAGCAGGAGCTCGAAAAGAGAGATGGTTGCCTGGTAGCCCAGCTGCCGGTAATCCTCCCTTTGTAATTTGCCTCTATGACCACCCTCCCCCCTTCCTCCAGTGGCGTCGATTTTTTTCGTGGATCTTTTCCGACAATCGCGCGTTTCCCAACAATCTTCTTTAACCATCGGCGCGGCGCTTTCATCACACAATCCTAATCCATTGTGCTTTTACTATAAAAACGCGATCGGACATCGGTAAATAAATAAAAATGTTATAGAAAATAGAAATTATAGGATTAAATTAAATTAAATCCATTATCCAAATTGATTCTCTAGATACACGTTACATATAATCAAGATATAACTGCTCAATTATTTATCACATTTTTCTCTCTCGCGTTTTCTCTTTCTACAATATATAATATATAGACAGAATAAAATTATGTTAAATTAAAAAAATAGAGCCACTAAAAAATGTTTCTTTCTCTATAAGAATAGATTTTCTCCACAAGCCAAAGCGAATGTTCAATTCGCAAATAGTCTACGCCAATGACGAGCGGTTGATGTCACCGTGGCTGTGCCCTCCGGATAATAGAGTCCGCGACTTTAATGGACTCGCTAATCCTCTTCCCTGTTTGTCGGCGAGGGGGCACGCATTCACGGGGTGCACGTAGGTAAGAATTGGCGCGAGAGGGGCCAGGGTGGGATGGTGTGACTGCGGTGCGTGCGCCTCTCTGGGGTGCGCGAAGTGAAGACTTGCATTCGCCCGCCGTCACGTTGGCAAGAAGGGGGTGACGCACAAGGGGGTGATCTCTCCGGCCTGTCCTGTCGGAGTGGTGACGTGCAGATACGCCCCTTGTGCGGAACCATCGGTGCGATGATACCCTCGGATTTCCCGGCCGAGTTATGCCGCGCGTTATGAGTACGAGAGTGTGCTCTAACTGCATTTGTCGATAGAAATATGTTGTCGACAGATTTATTCATTCATTGGAAAAGATTCGGTTTTAACAAATGCGATGGTTGTCTCTCGATTCAAAAGTTCGAGCCGATAAAACCGGAGAGGATGATAAAAGGGTGCATAATTAAGCGAAAAGCGTGCGTTCCTAATTCGACATAAACGATGCAGCGTATAACCTTAAGTTTGAAAGAGAGCAGTTTCAAAAAATAATAAGACGATTCGTATAATTTTTAAGTCGAGAAAATCAAATAAGATTTATTATGCACACAGACTTTTTTTCCCCATGATTTTTTTTACATGATGTATATTCTTGCGATTTATATATCAATTTATGAATATCAATGTAATTATGAAACAAATAAAATGATATGAAATAGGAATGAAATGAAATGAATATAAAAACATGAGACGAATCAAAAAACCACCAATAGAGATTAGATACAGAGAAATAATTTTTTTTACAGAGATTGACTCTCTTCTAAAATTATTAAGATAAAAAAACTATTACATTTATATTTATCTTAAATTTATATTTAATATACCTGTCTCAACATAATTTAAGGCACATATCATTTATAAAAAAATATTTACGAATGCGAATAACAGCTACGAAATATGTACCCCTCACGCATTTTGCGTTTCACTATCGATGATTACGAACATGTTATGACAAATGAATGAAATGGATACATGAGAAATGATATGATCTTATGAAAGTGGAACGATATATACTGATATCATCGCTTTGATGCCTTAACTTGAGACGGACAATTATCCGTGATGTTGTCCCTGCGGAATCGCGTTAGGCAAATTCTGCTGGAGCTGCACAAGCTGCTGAAGTTGCGGTGGCAGATTTCTGGAATATTGATAATTAGGTTGAGCGCCTTGCTGCTGCGGCAGCGGCTGTGGCTGCGGCGCGTAATTAGTGCGGTATTGCGGATTGTATTGCTGTTGAGCGGGGGCCGGTGGTGGATTGTATTGCTGTTGGGCGGAGGCCGGTGGATTGTATTGAGCCGGTCTTACGGGAATCTGTTTGTAGGTCGGCTGCTCAGGTTGTTGACCGATCTGTACTTTCGGCCGATACTGACTCAGCTGGGCCTGATTTACGTATTGAGGCTCGATAGGTTTGCTAGGTCCCAAATTCGGTATCGGCTGCGGTGGAAGATGTACGATCGGATCGCGAGCCTGCTGAGCCGCCAATATCTGCCTGATCGACGCCGGCGCTTGATTGTAATTTCGGTAATTACCTTGCTGTACATGATTTTGTCTTCGTTCCCGGATGTGGCCTGAATATAATTAAGACAAGTGCAAATTTCTGTTATCACATAGTTATCGATAAAAAATTAATTTTATGTGTTTGCTATTTTTATTAATTGTTATTTGATATCCCGATAAAATAAAAGATATTTCTGAAATATAAATGAAAAATATTCTTGAGAAATGAAAGAGGTGTCCAAAAAGTTACTTACTTTGGAATTCCGTTCCTAGCGCGGGTGTTATGGCGAGGATCAAAAACTGAAAGATGACAAAAAACCATATTATTAAATCATACAACAATAACGTTTCTTTCTTTTGATACGAAGAAATGTATTTTTTATACAAATAATTTTCTCGAAATTGGAAGAGAAAGTGTGCGCATAATTTTTTATACGTACTTCTATGTATAAAACAAGATAAATGTTGGAAAGTAATCTTAGAAAGCTGAAATATTCTGATTTGCAATGCAGATAAGATTTTTCAATATTGATTATTAATGCATTCATGCCCTGTTTCATATCGCGAGATATAAATTAATCGCGTTCTAAGTTCAGCTTGATCGCGCCATGTATGTAAATCAGTTGAACTTGATTCATCGTAATAATTATAAAGAAGTGCAGAGTTTTCCAAGCGTAGAGGAATGTCTTTATATCGCGCAATTTCATATAATGATAAAATGAATATCCTTGACAAGAAATAAAAAATTAAGAAGCTTCTTATAGTAACATATTTTTTTAAATTTACGTAAATAATTTTTATACACGCGATTTTAAACTATAAATAAAATTTTACATCTCGTTACTTTCGGATGGAAAATAATTAATTCACAATAAATTTAAGAAAGTATAATTTTTATAAAAAAATTTTCAAGGAATATCACAGAACGAGATGTTCAGTTAAATGAAAAGAGTTTAGTGTATTTCACGTTGTAAACGGTACTTTTATATCTACAACGATCTAATATATCGTATGTTAACACTTTCGCGAGGAAAAGAAAAAAGACTATTAAATGTATGAATTAGATTCTATCAAATTTTTTTATTCAGAAATACTCGTAGCACGAGATTTTTCACTCCGCGATCAATGAGCGATCGCGTTATTGCGCTTTTTATCTCTCTCGATTACGTGCATAGAATAAAATCACGATGATCGACACGAGATTTGAAAGCAAAAAGAGAGCACTCGCACCGACATTCCGCGGATTTTAATTGCACTTTCTCCCCGCGTATCGCGGCGCAAAATTTCGCGGTATTTTTAGAATAACGATCGCGAACGAGCGTGCAAGGGACTTACGAGGAATCTCATGATGCTGAACGACGATATCCGGAGGGCGGCGAGACAAAACTGGCGGCCGCGTCGCGACGCACTTCTATATGGGCCCCAGCCGTCGCGGGCCGAACCGCGTCGTCGAGTCCACCACCAGCTTTCACGGCTGGTCGGCTTTCAAGCTATTTTTTTTTCTTTGCGTGCAGGTCCCCCGCCTGCCGTCACGTAACCAGATGCAACGAGCCAACGCGCCCTGTGCTCGTAGTTGCGGCGAGCCAGGAAGTGACCGGGACGGTGAAGTGGCAGCAGAAAAGTCAGAGCGCTATATCTATCTCACCTTCGTATGCAAGATATTCTGCGGAAAACAAAGAATCATAAGATAAGAATTTTCACTCCAACTCTTTAGTTTGACAAAATTAAAAAAATCCTAATTAAAATAAAATGTTATTATAATAAAACACTAACAATTTGAGAGATATTCAAGAAAGTAATCGGGAAAAGATTGCCAAGTGAGTAATAAAAAGAAAAAAAATAATAGGTTTAATAAAAATTTTTGAAATAAAAGCAATCAAATTTTTTATTTCCATTGCACATCAAATGGGAATAAGATATAAGAACGTATAGTGCAAATCCTTTTTCTTTGTATAGAATTTAATATTCTAGGTGTTTATGTAATTCAGCACATATTACTGCGCATTGATTATGGCGATAATATTACGTGAAAGTGGTTCGACCGTGTCCCTTTCCTATGCATTTTCCTTGCTACCATACCAAACGTCAAATTTTACAACCAAAATTTCATGCTGCCTATCTCGTGTATTATATCACCTATTATTTTTCGAATCGCGTGAAAGTTGTTTTCGTTTGTGTACAAACAAGTTATAGTTGCATGTCATATACAACTGTACATTAATATCATTTTTTTATTTAATAAGATTCTTATACTTAAATTTCACCGACATAATCAACTTATTAACGATGCTATCTCTAAAGAAAGTTTGAAAGTTTTACTTTTCAGGATTCGATATATTTAGCTGTTTTTCAGAATTTATATTTGACTCGCGATTTTTTGTTTTTTTTCAATTAACGAACAATTATAATCATCTTTCTCTTAATAACTATTACGTCTTAGTTTTCGAAGAACACAATTATGATTCGTGTCTCAAAATATACATATACTCTTCTGTATCATAAAAGAATGCTATATTCAAGGACTATTAATCCTATGATTGTATTTAAAGACTTGTAATCGCGAATGCATATCGGTTACTCGCGGACTCGCGATAGGAACGTGGCATTTCGCGTGTTCGACGAATAAGTGGAGGTGCATGTTAATAGATATCGACTTCGTAGGAAAGGATAATGCGTGCATATATATATACATCGTATCTAGTCACGTAACGGTCCTGGTACAGGAAACGCTCACCGCTTCCGTATTCGCCATAAATCGAGCACCGTTTAAGTGCATCGCTGCAGCATAAAGCAGCAACATGCTATACTTATCTTGAAGATGATACCACGAAAGAAAAAGAGAGAATGAATAAGTATAGTCACTGCAAATATTCAAATTAATATAACGCAGAAAAAAGTAAAACATCATTAATATTTTAATAATAAAATTAACATAAATCTGTCATATCATAGATTTTCTGCTGGAAATTTTTCAAAATATATCAAACACTGCCATTTTGTGAAAGATCAAGACTGAAGGATACTGTATTTAAAATCCCGCAAAAAAGTCGCTAAACTTAATAATCGGTGAGTGTGATCTTGTGTGGTGAAAACGGCTTTCATTCGTGATTATTAGCTATCGCGATTTTATCGCCGAGCATATACATATGTTCAAGCATACATACCATACGATTGCGTAAAGAATTCTGCATTCCACTTTCAATATTCGTTGCAATGTCTTAAGTATATTTAACGCTATATTTAGAAAGGCTATTCTTGATTGAGTGCGCAATAAGTTCGATTCAATTAAATTCAGCTGATTGTTAATGACTGGGAACATTACACAACTATGCGTGTGAAAAATTATGAATAGATAAAATAATTTCTTGAACGAATTTAATGTGTGTGTATTGACCTTTACTACTTACTTAAAATTTATTAAATTGAAATTTTATATATATATATCTATTTATATATGTTTATTTATTGTTTTATAAGTAT